TCACATAAATAGTGTGGCAAGGCTTTACTGGGGATGTTGGCTGACTTTGTTTTTTCCCAGTTTTGTAAAGTTCAACTGAGAAAAGCCTTGCATCCTTCCCAGGAGAGAAGACAGCCTGCTGGTGAACTCCCACCATTTAGATTTCACCAGATTTCTCCTTAACCCAAGAATAATTCAACTCAACAGTTGTCTCCTCCTCCCAGTGTCAGCTAAACCAAATCACATTGCTTTTTCTTTGCTTGTAAAGGCAGCAAAAGGTGTGAAGGACAGTTCTGACTAAGGGGTTCGTTCACTGGTGCGTTGCAAGGTCCACAGATTCCTACTGAAATGGGGTCCTGCCTTGAGAAGAGGATCCTCCTAATCTCTCTTCAAAGTAGAGGTCTCTTGAAGTTTTAAAATACTGTACAACCAGAGGTGCTTTCCATCCTAGCGTTTTTTTTCTTTCCTTAAACACTGCCAGTGTGATGAGGAAGACTGGGAGCTAAAATGACCATCCCCACCTCCTTATTTCCCATGGTACAGCACTGACAAATAATTGCATAAACAACTTGAGACAAAAGCCAGAAAAGATTGAGCGGAAAAGCAGCTATAAGCAGCACCTTGCTCTGAGAGGTGTAAAGAGTAGCAGGAGAACTGATGTGTGGTTTTCATGTATGTTTGTAGTTAAGTAGGTAGTTAAGCCAATCTGTGCCCTGTTTGTCAAGTAAGTTTGACCACTTTTGGTCTAAATATAATACAGGCAGAAGGTACCACAAATCTGCTATGAAGCACCATGGATTATTTTCTCCTCTTTCCAGTCAGTCTTGAAGTTGCCCAAGCGCTGGGTTAAGGAGCAGTCTGCTGCAATGCGAGTGGTGGAAGCTCAGCAGCATCATTTCTCATGTTCTAAGAAGGGAGATGGGCTTTTCCCAGTACAGGTTAGCCAAATTAGGCAAACATGAATATCAGCTGAATGTTTCTGTCAACGTTTCTGTAATTATCTGTATGATAATAAGAAAAGGCTTTTTAAATCTGAACGTTGCCTCTGCGCTTTTTTTTGTGACTTTTTATGTTGGTAACAACAGCTAATGCTGTTTGTATTATATTGCCACCTATATGGAAGGTTGTGCAACACTTTCCATTATAAGACTGTTTCAGTTGCTTGTTATGTTGCCAACATTCAGCTGTTTGGGCTGAAATTTTCCATGCTGGGTGTCTCCTTCAGGCTGAATTTCTTGGGAAAGTTTCAATAAAAATACTTCAACCATTCCAGGGAATGAGAGGAGGGGGAAATACTATATTTTGCTCATGTTTATTAAAGTTGCTGCAAGCACTTGATTCAGAAATCATTGCACTTACGTGTTTTGGAGCAGGGAGTTGAATTATTAGGAAGGTGAAAGGGTGAGGAAAGCAGAGCTAGAAGAGATTTCTTTCTAAGAAATGGGCTCCTCCCTGACATTATGAACCATCAGCAAGAAAGCACACAAACCCCATGCTTGTCAAAACAGGGTCAGTGAGTGACTGGGAACTGAATGATTCCCCTTGTTTCACCGCACCTATGGGGTATATTGGAGTTGGGGAGAGAGGCTTACACGGTATAAGTGCAATCCTATGCAACAGGGAAGAGATGACTAAAATCTGTGTGGTGGTGGAACTGGAAGGTCAGGATTATGTAGCTAAGAGAAAGAGTTGAAAATAGCGGAGGTAGTTTTGCTCAGCAAATAGATATTGTAGATGTGAAGATGGTGAGCGAGACTATTAAGCAAGGAGGTGGGATTTAACCTAAGTGATCTTACAGCAGCCTTTGTGTTAGTTACAGTTCATTTTCTGTTTGCCACACATCTTATGCTTTTAAATGAGGCAGGGAAAATTACATGCAATTGTGTAATTTAGAGACCAGTATTCAACCTTAATTCCAGCATGTCTCATTTCTGAGCACTTGATGCTGCAACTCTAATGTACTTTCAACATGAAAATTAAAGCTTTGGATTGGAAATGTCATTCTATACCCATCATTAAAATGCTCATATTGTAAGCTTTGAAGAACACCACCGTAGTCAGGCACAAGTGTAATTCTGCATTTCAGCTAAAATAGTGAAAAATGTTCTATTTTAATCCTTTAGAAGAGTTTCCTTTTCAAAACCATAGCACTGTCACTGCTTCAGCAAACATGTGTGGGACTATTTGGATCTGCAGAGGTTAATCGAATACTTCAGATAATAGGAGCTGAACTCCTCAACACACTCTGCCTTTCATTTTTCTCAGGTTCACAGCGTAGACACCAAATGAGATTTTGGAATATGCCCAATATGCTTAGCCCAAAGGGGAGTGAGTTAACAGGACAGGGAGAAGTTTCAGCTATAACTTCAAATTTTCCTCATTTTTATGGACTTCGACCAGACTGGTAATACCTCAATATTATTTTAACATTGTTATTTGTGGCTGATTTTATTAAATAGCAGTGTTCATGCTGCTGCTTTTACTATCTCACACTTGAGGTTATCTTCCAAGTTTTCAAGGATTTATAATGTTGCCATAACATTTTCTTAAGGAATAAAGCTTCCCATCCAGAAGCAAGCATACGTCGTAGTACAAATTCAAAAAACAGTGAATTAGACGTTTCCTAGTTAGAGGAAAGCAAGCGTATGTACTGAATGCCCATTTTATTGAGATCCTTTTACTTCTTTTTTTCTTGAATGAATTTTAGACTTCTATTTGGGGACTGTTTTTTCAATAATATCTTGTTCAGAGAGAAGAAATTTAAAATTGAACTGTTCCTATGGGTATCTGCTTTTTAAATATTAACTTCATTAAAATGCCGTATCTGGGTTTGACATGATGTGTTGGCTCTGTTCACAGAAGATAAGCTGTCATGTCATATACCTGTTTATTAATGTCACAGATTGTGTGTTGATTTTATGTATCATAGCAAAGACCCACTTCTTAATATCTTCACGGTATGGATGAACAGGGTACGTTTTTCTGGCTCTAATGGTGCTTAAAATTTTATGCCACAGTGTTTTGGGGCTGTGTTAAAGTACACAAATCTCTTTTGAAAAAGGGCTGTTTTTTTTCTATCTAGGCCACATTTTTCTTTTATATTTGGCATAGATGCCTAAAACCTCTTTTTTTTTTTCCTTTCTCCCTTCCATATGCACCCATTATTGTTCCACAAGAGCTGTTTTTTCTCAGAGATTTCTCCATAAGTGCAGTCAGGTCTGGGCTCAACAGCCAGTAGCATCTACCCAGCTTCTCCCCAAGCAGCCCATGTGTTGCAAGCATTCACAAAATGTTGGGTTGGTTCACATTAACATGAAGAAACTGGAGTGTCCCACCATGTTGCAGATGCTGTGGCAGATATTCCGTGTTGCTGTGAGACCCGCTGTGACCTGATGGTCCTGTTCAGTGCAGTTGTGGTACTACGGTCTGTAGAACCGGTTTGTCTAGCCACCCTGCAGCTCCCTCTGCTACCAAAACCTCGCCACTTAACACCCAACACACCACCTCAGCACCTTCTTTCTTTCCCCCGCAGACTTGTTCTCTGTGGCTGCTTCTGTCCCCGAGTCTGTCTCAGTTGTTTTCCTAGGCTCTTCTGAGGAGAATGTGACTATTGAAAGAAAGCCAGCTTACCCTCGCTTAGTCCAATACAAATAAGTGCTGGTAATTTTTGTCATTCTGTTTCCTTACTGGACTGCAGATGTGAGTTTCTGGGTGATGGATGGCTCCAAGGCGAGTGGCTTCGCCTCTCTGAATGCGCCCTTCATGGTTTGCTAAGGTTGCAAGAGCTCATCATGTCAAGGTTGTGTCTAGGCTAAAACCTGGCTTACTCTTCTGTCTAACCTGGTCAGAGCAATGTCTGGGTGTAACTTCTTATCCTGTGTCGCGTGCTAGCACGTGTTGTTTTACTCACTGGCAGGCATAGTTCGTACTTTGGTATGAAGGACAGAGGAGTGTACAGACAAGGTGGTTTACTTTAGTCGGTCTTTTTAGGAATCCTTCAAGACGGCTTCTTATGCAGTGGAGGGGAAAGGCAAAGGATTGAAATACTGCTTGAATGCCAAGTGCACAAAGTCTGAGTTGCAGAGATCCCATTGTGAGGGAACCCCAGTCCTTTCAAGTGAGGAGGGTTAATACAGGTGCTTTGAATGTCAGCATGATGGAGTATCAGGCATTGTGGTGTAACTCTGTGCAGGCACGCACAATAAAAGTGTTCTTTTTCACTTCAGGTTTTGGGGTTTTTTTGAAGGTATCAGAATAAAAGTGAAAAAAGCTCTTTTTATTCCAGGTGAGAAATCCCATGCAAAATGTTGCACAGCTGGAATTACTTCACTACTGCACACCTTGTGTTGCGCTGGTGGAATTCCCGCTTAACATCCCAGAGATGAACCTGGAGTTGCATTAGGCCTTCAGCAGCAAGTACTAGAGCTCTACAGAGAGACCTCATTTGGTTTTCAAGAGTTGGCAACTCTTGTTGGAGAAATTGCAGTTTAATTGGACATCTTTGATGTCAGGCAACATTGTCTAAAACCTTTAGCAAAAGGATGTGCTTATCCTAAGCTGGAAATGATGTATCTGCACAATGTAATTCATACTGTCCCTCTGACCTTCACATTCAATACATTTGCCCTTAACATTTTTCTCCGTTACAGCTACTCAGCTACTTTTTCACAGAAGGATTGAGTGCAGTTACTGTAAAGGATCGAGTATAGTTATTACAGTGTGGTGTGCAATGGTGATCTCTGGTTGGAGTTTTTTTAAAAAGGTGTATTTTCACATAATGCAAATATCTAATGTACATTCTATTGAAATCAGCAGCAAATGGCCCAGATCTTGAACACTGGAATAAAGCTGTTGATGGAGAAGTTTGTATTCTTGATATCTGTGTGTTGCGGAGGAACTTGTCATCACTGAATCTGAAGCTCTTATTTGGTCACTGAGGGCGAAAATTACTTTACCTGAATTTAGCTTGCTTGCAGTCAGTTTTTCAAGGCTCTCATCCTCCTGGTTGTCCTTCTTCTAGATTTATGACTGATGCAGCTCGACGTGAGCAGGAGTCTTTGAAGAAAAAGATTCAGCCAAAACTCTCTTTGACTTTGTCAAGCACAGTGTCCCGTGGGAATGTATCTACTCCACCTCGCCACAGCAGTGGAAGCCTTACTCCTCCAGTCACCCCTCCAATCACCCCCTCCTCTTCGTTTCGCAGTAGTACTCCTACAGGTAAGCACCTATTCTTTGGTTTATCCCAAATAAACTAGCGATTTTGCTACATGGTGTCTGGGGAACAACAAATGTCCTGAGGCATTGGGAAGAAGAACTCCTAAAAATAAAATAGAAAAACTTGGGGCTCTTTTATTTGCATTTAGTTTGCAGTCTGTAAAATGTGTTCAGGCATTTGTTTCCAAATTCTTTCTTAAAGCAGAGAAGGACACTAACTTCAACAATTGCAGCTGAAGTTATTACACAAAGAAGCTAACCTTACCAGAAATGCCAAATGTGCGAAAGACCCCTGATGTATCAGTGGGAGAGCTCTGTGCGTGGTACAGAGCCTATTTAAGATACAAGTAAAAGTGGTCGGAATCTTCTCCCCTGCCCCTTTCTTCTTTTTGGTTTTTGTTTTTGAGGGGGATTGAATTCATAGATAAATGAGTGGACAGGGAGGAATGTTCAGCTGCTGTCATCATATAGACATGACTTTCATTAGGAAGCGATGTTCAAAAGAAGTAATGTATGAAAAAAATGATCTTGTGTTTTCTTCCAAAACGGGTATGCCAGTGGTTTTCCCAGGTAGGAAATTGCACTGATTAGAGAAAATGAAAATTGCTGTGCTGAACTCTTGGCCCGAGTCAGCCTGGTTTATGTTAAGTGGAGATCTTGTCAGATAGTTCTGATACACTTTAGATTAAATACCAGTATTTCTTTCTAAAAAGCTAAATGCATAGAGTACCTCTGGTCTGTAATAAGTAGGCTAAACGTATTCTCCTTAATAGGAAATCACATGAGCATCCTTGCCTTGATAAACTGTTTTGCTTTTTGTTTTATATAAGCTATCGAATGTTTTAATATTAATGATTAAATAGAAAAGTTGTCGCAGTCCTTGCAATGCTCTGTGTGGAAGTTCTGAAATGAACTGGTTGTTCTGTATGTCTCTGGATGTGAAAAAGGGAGGGATGTTGAGAACATCCAAATGATAACGTCCTAGTGCAATTCAGAAAATTTTAGATTTTCTCGATTATCTCCTCTTTGAAACAAATTGAATAATTTCCTTGACATCCTACAGATGTCGAGGAATTCCTGCTTCCTGTTGTTCTACTTTTTGTGCAGCCCCTGGGAAGGCTAATCCGTGATGTGGTCGGGTGGCGTAACTTTGCACATCTGTCAGGAACACTGGGTAGCGAAGTACTTTTTGAAACGTGTTCCATCAGGTACTAAAGCAAAAGAGCCAGCATCTTAATTTTAGTATTGATTTATCTTGCAAACTTTTTGAGTTACTCAGAATGTTGTTTTACCTGTAGTTAGGTGAATCAGCTTGTTACGGCTGTGTTTCTGGGAGTCTTGCCTGCTAGGTTATAAATAATACCAAATAATCCCAGTTTCCACTTTCTGCACCCTCAGTTCCAAGTTCCTTGTTGAAGCCCTGTTCCAGGATTAAGGTTTGCAGTAGCCTGGTACCGATAAACCTGTATTCTTTCTTGAAGACGGTTTTTGGGGTTTTTGGGGGTTTTTTGGGTTTTTTTTTTATTAACTACCAACTGAGTTGCATTTCAGCAGCCTCAGTCCAGAATTTCCATTTTTGTCATCTTAAAAGTTTTTACGGACCTAAAATAAGTATTGAGATTTTTCTGATTACCACAGAATTTCCCCCAGTGTTTGCTTGGCATAGGATTTTGTTCTCCGCAGTGGTTCTAACTCACATAGATGAGGTGCTCAGAGTCACACCGTGGCTGAATTTCTGTTTTTGCCGGTTCAGTGCCTGCAGAGGGAGCCCAGGAAGGGCCAACAGCCTGTTAGATAGACAGCTCACATGTCTGTCGCTGGCTGATGCGAATCTTTTTCCCTGAAGTGCAAGTATGTATGGCAATTGAGCAGCAAGGTGATAAAACCAAGGATAGTTAGGCAAGATCTGTTTCAGGGAAGCAATTTAGAGTATGGAAATCATCCTGCATTTCAGCCTCGCAGTGCCTACACAGCTTTCAACCTTACAGGCATGCCTTCCCCTGCATCCAGTGAGAATGAAGAATATTGCTGTTTTCCTTCTGTGTGGTCCTGTTTGATCTGTGCTCCGAGCAAACGCTTGTTAACTTGTCTTTGCATACAGGTAAACATGGATGTTGTGGCAACTTAAGAAACAAAGAGGCTGTTTGTCCTTAGGTTGCCTGAAATGAGGTCATCTGGGTTGATGTTAGGTATTCGTATAATCCAAATACAAGCATTGTCCTCATCCTCCTTTAGACCTGTACTTCATCAGAAACAGAATGGGGTTGCTTTGACCCAATCTATTAATGAAAAATTCGTAATGGCAGTTTCTCTTTTATTATCTCTCATCTCACTTGTTGGATACTTTGTTAGGGCAGCAGACTTGGACGGTGTGCCTGGCATTGCTGTTACTGCACAAGGTGTAACCCCAGGCTGGTGCTGCTGTAGATGCCAGAGAAAGCACAAGCTGGTGAGATGGGATGCAGATATGTGTGACCCTTAGCAGAGACTGTCCTGTATGGCTGTTTGCCATTCTTGTTCGAGGTAGAAAGCAGGAACCTCACTAATTTTTTGGGTTCCATTTTCCATGTACCGTCCTCCCTGTAGGTATGCTGCTCATCTTGGCTTTCCTAGGTGTGGTAATCTTATTTTGGGTGAAGCCAGCAGCTGCCTGAATCCCGGTCGCCTTTGGGCATGTCCTTCCAGCTAAGTCCTGCCATTTCCTGATGCTGTTAAGCTACTGCTGTCATTTTTCAGTAAAGCGTAATTTCATATAATGATCCCTCATCTATGTATTGACCAGACTCAAACCCACTTAGCTTGTGAAATTTGATAAGAAACAGTTCAAGGTGGTTTGGCTGCAGAGAATGTTTGTTAACGTTTTTGCAGTAAAAATCTGTGCCAAAAGACTACGGGCCAAATTCGCAGACAGAGCTGAGCAGCTTCCAAGCTCTGACACACATACAAGCTGCAAATGTTGCATACGTATGTATAGCTCCTTCTTCTGCCTAAATGAGATTATTCATCCAGAAGCAGGAATATTCAGCAAAGAAGTGTGCTCTTTAAGGCTCTTCTCAGGTAATGAGGTAGACATGTATTTATCTGCAGACTCTGTATGTGTTAGTCCCCTGAAACAGCCCGTTTGTGGTTTTGGTGGGAAGTAAAAATGCAGCAGTTAATTTTCTATACCTCCCTTCTGTTCCCTCAGGGTTGGCCGGCACAAACTCTCTGCTTACATTTGGCTTTTTGTTCCCTCTCCTGTAAGAAGTTTTCTCTTCTTCTTAAGACCTGCATCTTCGAATGACGGCAGAAAGCTCACTTTAAAAACTTGTTCCAGTTTTTGTTTGAACAATAAGTCTCTCCCAGGAGGCTTTGTTTAGCAGGCGTAAATGCTCTTGTTACAGCTTGCAGGGAGAATTTAGCAAAAAGAAATGGCTCCCCTCAGCAATGCAGACTCCTTAGGGTGATAGAGGGAATATAGCTAAGTAGCACCAGCACAGGGCTTATTTTGGAAAGATGTTAACAGTCTGCAAACATTGAAATATCTCTTTACTTAAGGAATACTCAATTAAGTCACAAAAACTGATGTTGCCTTTATTTTAAATGTCAATTTGAAACCCACAAAACTAATGAAGTCTAGTTACGGATAAAAATGAGGCTGACATTGCATCTTCAACATACGCTGTTAATTTTTTAAATGTTTTCATACATCTATGTGGCTCACAGATGAAATTTCCACCCCTAACTTCCTGGCTTTTGACTAAGTCAGAACATTGACATTCCTTTGAAAACTGTAATATCTCTTTATAGTGAAAAGCTTTAAAAAACAGTCAGTGATAGTAACTTACTGGTAATTTGTTACTAAAATAACCTGGTCCCAATTTTAGTTACAACAGTAATTTGTAGTAATGAGTCTCAAACTTAAAAAAAAAAACTACAGCCACTTTTGCATTGAAGAAGTGCCAAGAATCATCTGAAACCACTGTTTTGTGTTTGTTTGTTTTTCATCCATATTTATTACAACTATTTTTTTTTTCTTTAAGCGATTCCAAGCCTGAGATAGTAAATTTCAGTCTGGAGTGTATTTTTGTTCTTCTTATAAATCTTAAAGTAACAGTTTAATACTACCAACTGGCTTTTTAATGGCTCAACCCAAAGTCTTGCCCACCCCCAAAAAAGCTGGGATATTTGAGAACCTCATAATTAGCATTACATTTTGCTCTGAAGAAACTGGCTCTCAGACCTCCTTTCCTGTTTATTTGGATTTTAATGGATTACAAGTTATAACGTTGATGCTGTTTTAATAGACCTACTCACTGCCTGATGGTGGGGGGCAGCGGGTGGCAGCCGGTCCTGGCAGCGAGCACTGAGGATGCTGTGGTTGTCTGGAAGAGCCGTGGCCGTCCGTCAGTCCTTCTGCTGGTAAAGAAAGAGCGAGCTTTCATGGGTGGTCACAGCTGACCCCATGAGAGAGTGGCAAGTCCCGTTTTGATCTGCAGCTGTCATTTAAGTAGGTGACTAGCTACTGGTTTCTCTTATTAATTAGGAGAAATGCCTTTCTGGGGAGTCATATTTGCGCAGTCATTTTTGATTGACTGCATTTGAAGGATTTTACCTTTCCTTAATGTGGCACTCTTCCTTCAAATTTCCACTAGCCCAATATCAATACTTACAAAAGTGACCCCATTTTCTTCCCACAGAAAACACCTAACTTTTCAGTCTCTTTTATTTTTCTTTCTTGTAAAACATGAAAGCAATAATTAATTTTAATTTGGAGTAAAAAATACTTTGTGGGATTGGCTTTAACCTTAAAGGAAATTAAGATCTAAACAGTGATACTGTAATCAAATACGCCTAAAAATTCAGTACAGCAATTTTTTAAGACTTAAAAAAAAATCAATGGCTGAGGCTTTCAAGTTAGTGTTATTGATGTAGAAACATTTACCATTTGAGGATACTATTTAAATGAGGATTTAGTAGATCTATAATGACTGAGCAGTTTTTTAGATATGGAGAACATATTC